TGAAGCTCTGCAAAAAAATCAAGAACTCCTCCAAGAAAAAGAACAAATGGACATAAAGCAGCGCAAACTACAAGGCATGGAGGAAAAGTACAAAGGGCTTCAGGCAAAGCTTGATAAAACACTGAACAAAAATAAAGAGTTGCTTCAAGAAAAAAAGCAACTAGAAATTAAACAGAAAGAAATGGACTCCAAGCTTGAAGGCGTGGAGGAAAAGTACACCGCGCTGAAAATAAAGCTTGATAAAACAGTGCAAAGAAATAAGGATTTCCTACAAGACAAAGAACAGCATGACACCAAACAGAAAGATCTGGATTGTGAGCTTCAGAACATCAAGAAACACAACCAAGGTTTGCAAGTAATGCTTGATGAAGCTCTACAAAAAAACAAAGAAATCCTTGAAGAGAAAGAAAAACTGGACATAAACCAGAGAGGCATGCAGGAAAAATACGGAGCGCAGCAGGTAAAGCTTGATGAAACGCTGCACAAATATCAAGAGCTGCTTCAAGACAAAGAACAACGGAAAATAAAGCAGAAAGAAGAAAAACAAATTCTCCAGGACTTTGAGAGGAAAAACCAACAGCTGCAAGACCGTTATAACAAACTGAACTCCAAAACAACTGAGCTGGAGGGGGAAAAGAAAAAAGTGCAAAGACAATGCTCAGAGATGCAGAGTAAGCTCAGTGACATGCTGAGAAAAAACACAGACCTGCAGTGCACACTTCAAGAACTCGAGAGAAGTCAGCAGCTACAAGACACACACAACAAATTACGACAGAGTTATACAGAGATGCACGAGGCAAAGCTTATGCAGGAGGCCAAATGTAAAGAACTGAAAGAAAGGCTGGAAGAAAAACAAGCCAAATTAGAAGAAGTGGAGACAACATGCAGGAAACTTGAGAAGGAAAATACACAAACAATTGATGAGTTAAGAACCCTCGTCCTAGAGAAGAAAGTGCTGGTGGAAAAGATCATGGACAAGAAGAAAAAACGCTTCCGCTTCTTCTGGAGGAAGAGCACTCCTGCTTTTTCTACTTTTTCCACTTTTTCTTCTACTGATGTCACCCCGTCTTCCTCCTCCACCGTTGCATCGTAATTTTCACCTCTCCTGACACCTCTCCCTCCCCTATTTCCCTGTAACTCCCCCCCCCCCTCTCTCTCTTTCACCCTCACCCCCCAACCAGTCCCGACAGTTGACTGCCCCCTCTAGAGCCTGGTTCTGTCATAGGTTTCTTCCTTTAAAGGGAGTTTTTCCTATCCACTGTCGCATCCAGTGCTTGCTCAGAGGGCATTGTTGGGGTTCTCTCACCTCTATCTCTTTCCTCCTTTCTATCCCTTTCCTTTACCCTCTTCTTTACCCCCCACCCCTCCCCTCCTTTTCTATTCCCCCACCTTTTCTATTTCCTTAATAATTGAATAATAAACACAATTGGCTACATTTTAAATGTGTCTGATCCACGTCTTCATTCAAGAATGAATTGTCTTTCTCACGGAGTCATGTGTATTTTGTGTTTTCCTCGGGCTGGTGATCCTCGCGGTCGTTCAGCCCCGGAGTCCAGAGTTTTAGTGTTTTAATCACATTTAGTGTTACGTTTTAGATCACCACAATAGGATATCCATAATTTAGGGTTCAGGCATTTGTTTTAGTTCAATATCGTATCATTCTATGATTGAGTAGTTTACAGAACCTTCAGTCAGCAGCAATAACTTCAATTCATTGACATTTGCAAGCAGCCAGAAGCCTGCTAGCAACTCTTTTTAAAGAGTCTAAATGGTGTCAGCAGATTTCCTTCAGTGAAATACCTCAAAATCAGAATTCTTGTTCAATCATGCATGTCATAGGCCCCACAAAGTGAAACCAGCTTCCAGAAACTTGGCACCACAGTTTGACTCAGCCCTAATATTTGATCCACACATCAGAAAATTTACCAAGTTTTTTTATGAAGTGGAAAATTGTTAGGTCAGATCCTACACATGGGACCTCACGACATCACAGTGTAAAACAAGGATTTTATGCCTAAAGCAGTATTCACACAGTCACTTTTCTTTAATAAAACTTTGCACCAGCTGTTTTGTCGAAGTAATGAAAGGGCTAAAATATTAATATTATTAATTTTACTGTTCTGTCCCAGGTGAATATTCCTCTGAGCTCCCTAGGACTGCCCGTCCTGATGGGCGTCGCTCTGAATCACACCAGCGCTGGAAGACCGAGTGGCGAGTTTTACGTCAGGTAGTCGTCGCTTCAGTTTTAATCCATACTGTGAAACCTGCAGCACAGATTTCTTGAAGTAGGTGTGTCAGTGAAAGTTGCTCAGAAAATGAAAGTATGGCAAAAAATTTTATAAAGATAAAATCATCACGATGACCACATCTCCACTACTAAAGACTGCGTAGTTTTCCATGTGGACTATTGAAGTAGCTTTGTATGAGTCACAGTTCAAAATAATCCCCTGCAACCTTTTTCTGATTGGCTGCCTCTGGTAAACAGAACATGAGTGGGTGAGGCTTCTGGTCACAGCCAGAGTGAGATGACTATATTAGGGCTACCCTCTCTCTTTGACATCATACAGACCTAGGAGTAGAAAAAAACTGCAATTTCCTGAGCTGACTGAATTAAAAGCACATTCAGGAGCACTGACTGCAAATAACTGCAATGAGGCTTAAACAAATATATATTTAGGCTGTGTTATATGTATGTTTAGGGAATCTAAACCTTCTTTAAACTTTTCTTTTTATTCTTGAAATCCATTTGTAACTGGAATCTCACTCCTATTACAAATAATTCTCTTGGAGTTAAACAAGTTCAGTATTAAGAAGAAAAAACAGTTTTACTGCCCCATATAAAAGTTAGATATTTGGGCTTGAGATGAGTAAAGTTAATAGAGAGTTAAAATAGAAACAATAAAAATGCACACCAGTGAAAGACTAAAAGTAAAGGAACAGAAGTAATAATGAAGACAACTGAGAGACCATAAAAGATGACATCACATGATGGCAAGCCTATAAAAAGGTGTCATACAAAATGAAGTCCAAAGTTAAAGTTACTATTAGATTAGGTCTCAATTATCTAACCAGATTTGCCCAGCTGAGGTTAAATATTGGCATTCTTTTAAAAAATGATTACATTATATATCTTCTTCAACATAATCAGCCTCGGGAGAGTAGGGTGGAACTAAATGTGGAGCAAAGAGTATCTAGGGTGAAGGGAGTATCTGCCATCAAACAAGAAGACAGCCGCATGTAACTACAACGGTGTTTTCTAGTTCACCTTACATGCATTAATTTAATAAGTGGTTAGCCTACTCAATGTAAATTACACATGAACAACATGAAGCTACTCACACAGAGTATAACGGCCATCATCATCCGTCATCATTTCTGCTACACTGGCAGGGCTAGGGGCCAGGCCTCTCCTCTTCGGGTTCTTGGGGGATGTTGCTAACTCCGGGTCCAATAACAGGCACCACACCCGCAGTAGATGTGCTCGGTGTGAGGTCTCGCAGCAAGCTATCAAATACGGTGCATTTCTGAGCTTCAAGTTTAAATGAAACTTGTGGGTTGGATCTATGTGGCAGAAGCTGTTGTCAGCATTTATCCCTGTGTGGTATAAATTTCTGGGTCTGAACTGTGATCTTATTTCCTGAGACAAACGATGTAAAAGCTCTGCTGCATTTGTGAGACTGACTGACAGAAGCGAGGCTGCCATATCGCGCCATCATCAGTAGGCGGTAGGTAAAGTGTCTTGCCCAAGGACACAACGACCAAGACAGAGAGAGCTGGGGGTCAAACCGGCAACCTTCCAGTTACAAGATGAGCTTCCCGACCCCCTGAACTACGGATGCCCTACATGACTGTCAGGACAACTTATGTATTGCAAGTATGCAGTACTAAGAATAACTTGATGTTTCTGACTTTGCATTATGAATTGTTTACCCACTGACAAACATTTCAAGTTCTACTAAATTAAAAAACAATTTGTGGTAACCTGATTAGGATTCAAAAAGAATAATTAACAACACTTCTTGTAATGGTGTTAAAATCAGCCCAGCTTTTATTTTAAAATGCAAAAAGTAAAAGAAAATCAGCCAACATACTGGACACATATAATTGTCAATAGAATTGTTTATTGTTCAGCACAATAAACAATTATACTGTCACCATTGTTACTGATATTGAAAGCTTATTGATAATTTGTCCAAGTAAAGAATGCCCTCCCACAAATGTCATGTGACAACCTCATTGGCTTACAGAATTGTGATGTCACACACATTTAGAATCTTACCACCACTGTGATCCTTTGATCCTTTGATCCTAAAACCCTTAAATAGGGGTGAGACGCAAGAACTTTTAGTCCGTTATTCGCAGCATTTATGTTTGCAGCATTCAAACGTTCGCCAGACAAGCCTTTTTTTTTGGATCCTTTTCAGAGTCACTGTTAACAGATTCCAACATGTCTCCAAGAAAACAGAAAAAAAGAGAAAACGTAAAGCCCAGCGCTCCTCTTTGCAATCGAGAAGACGATACTCAACTGCAGAAGATGTGCTTGGAAGAAATGCATGAGGAAAATCTCATGAACAATCACAATACGCGACACCCGCCCCAGCCAGAGTACACCAATTACATCTGGGAAAGTTTTTTTAAACAACGAACGGAGATTATCTTACTGAGAGAGCACTGTGAGAGAAGGACCGATGAAGTAGATAGACTGTTCAAACAGCTTCTGGATAAGGAAGATATTCAAAAGGAGAAAGAAATGGAACTCCTAGACATGCGGGGAAGGATCTTTGAGCTCCAAGCAGAGCTTAATAAAGTACAAGAAAAACCAACAGAAGAAATCCTCCAACAGAAGAAAAAGGAGAAAGAGAGGGAAAAAAAGATTCAGGAGCTGCAAGTAAAGCTTGATCAAGCTCTGCAAAAAAATCAAGAACTCCTCCAAGAGAAGAAACAACTGGTCATAAAACTCCAAGGCACTGAGATAAATGAAAAAGTGCTGAAAGGAAGGGTTGAGTTTCTTCGAAAGAAAGCGCAACAGACCATGAAAAAGGAAGATACGGATTGCAAGCTTCAGGACAGCGAGAAACACAAGGAAGCTTTGCAAATAAAGCTTGATGAAGCTCTGCAAAAAAATCAAGAACTCCTCCAAGAAAAAGAACAAATGGACATAAAGCAGCGCAAACTACAAGGCATGAGGAGCAAGGGTTCAAAAGCTGATAACATAACAAAAAAAAGAGTGCTTCAAAAAAGCAAGAAATTACAAAATGGATAAGCTTGACTGAAAATACAGCGCTGATAACTTAAAATTTTCCAGGCTTTTTCTTCAGTTCTATTTCCTCTCACGTAATAAGTATCGTCTGTGCTCATATCCTAACTAACTAATTATTCAATGTTGGCTGTATATTTAACTGTTATTTTATTAGAATAGTTTTGTATTCCTCTTTACTTTTTTGATAGTCTAATCTGTTCTTTATATTATTATGATTTTTTTTTATCTAATTTGATTTATGATATTTATTTTTTTTATAGTAATTTTCATATTATACACGTTTGTTACTTTTCTTTTATTGTTTTAATGTGTTTATCTAGATGTCGTTCTTTGAGAGACCTCATTGCAGATTCTAGTGTAGTTGCCATCAAAGATTAAGGAACGAGAACAGAGGTCTGTCGGCTGCTTACATAAAAAATTAATTTGTGACGGTGTGTGATTTAACTCACAGTGCATGAGTTAACAGTTCAGAAATAGAAACACCATGAAGCATAGCATCGATTCAGAGAGATATGATTCCTACAAGACAAAGAACAGCATGACACCAAACAGAAAGATCTGGATTGTGAGCTTCAGAACATCAAGAAACACAACCAAGGTTTGCAAGTAATGCTTGATGAAGCTCTACAAAAAAACAAAGAAATCCTTGAAGAGAAAGAAAAACTGGACATAAACCAGAGAGGCATGCAGGAAAAATACGGAGCGCAGCAGGTAAAGCTTGATGAAACGCTGCACAAATATCAAGAGCTGCTTCAAGACAAAGAACAACGGAAAATAAAGCAGAAAGAAGAAAAACAAATTCTCCAGGACTTTGAGAGGAAAAACCAACAGCTGCAAGACCGTTATAACAAACTGAACTCCAAAACAACTGAGCTGGAGGGGGAAAAGAAAAAAGTGCAAAGACAATGCTCAGAGATGCAGAGTAAGCTCAGTGACATGCTGAGAAAAAACACAGACCTGCAGTGCACACTTCAAGAACTCGAGAGAAGTCAGCAGCTACAAGACACACACAACAAATTACGACAGAGTTATACAGAGATGCACGAGGCAAAGCTTATGCAGGAGGCCAAATGTAAAGAACTGAAAGAAAGGCTGGAAGAAAAACAAGCCAAATTAGAAGAAGTGGAGACAACATGCAGGAAACTTGAGAAGGAAAATACACAAACAATTGATGAGTTAAGAACCCTCGTCCTAGAGAAGAAAGTGCTGGTGGAAAAGATCATGGACAAGAAGAAAAAACGCTTCCGCTTCTTCTGGAGGAAGAGCACTCCTGCTTTTTCTACTTTTTCCACTTTTTCTTCTACTGATGTCACCCCGTCTTCCTCCTCCACCGTTGCATCGTAATTTTCACCTCTCCTGACACCTCTCCCTCCCCTATTTCCCTGTAACTCCCCCCCCTCTCTCTCTTTCACCCTCACCCCCCAACCAGTCCCGACAGTTGACTGCCCCCTCTAGAGCCTGGTTCTGTCATAGGTTTCTTCCTTTAAAGGGAGTTTTTCCTATCCACTGTCGCATCCAGTGCTTGCTCAGAGGGCATTGTTGGGGTTCTCTCACCTCTATCTCTTTCCTCCTTTCTATCCCTTTCCTTTACCCTCTTCTTTACCCCCCACCCCTCCCCTCCTTTTCTATTCCCCCACCTTTTCTATTTCCTTAATAATTGAATAATAAACACAATTGGCTACATTTTAAATGTGTCTGATCCACGTCTTCATTCAAGAATGAATTGTCTTTCTCACGGAGTCATGTGTATTTTGTGTTTTCCTCGGGCTGGTGATCCTCGCGGTCGTTCAGCCCCGGAGTCCAGAGTTTTAGTGTTTTAATCACATTTAGTGTTACGTTTTAGATCACCACAATAGGATATCCATAATTTAGGGTTCAGGCATTTGTTTTAGTTCAATATCGTATCATTCTATGATTGAGTAGTTTACAGAACCTTCAGTCAGCAGCAATAACTTCAATTCATTGACATTTGCAAGCATGCCTTAGAGCATCTAGCACTCTTTGGTTAAGGTCTAATGGATTCAGCGTAGATTTCCTTCAGTGAAATACCTCAAAATCAGAATTCTTGTTCAATCATGCATGTCATAGGCCCCACAAAGTGAAACCAGCTTCCAGAAACTTGGCACCACAGTTTGACTCAGCCCTAATATTTGATCCACACATCAGAAAATTTACCAAGTTTTTTTATGAAGTGGAAAATTGTTAGGTCAGATCCTACACATGGGACCTCACGACATCACAGTGTAAAACAAGGATTTTATGCCTAAAGCAGTATTCACACAGTCACTTTTCTTTAATAAAACTTTGCACCAGCTGTTTTGTCTAAGTAATGAAAGGGCTAAAATATTAATATTATTAATTTTACTGTTCTGTCCCAGGTGAATATTCCTCTAAGCACCCTAGGACTGCCCGTCCTGATGGGCGTCGCTCTCTCAGCCTGGACAGACCAGACCAGCTGCACCACACAGACAATTCAAACCTCACCTGAGGACAAAAAGCACAAGAACAACAAGAAAAAAAAAGAAAGAAAACAAACCTTAGAAACATGCAGGGTTACAGGAGAAGCCAGTGGTGCAGAGGTGAGCCTGTGCGAGTCTGAATTTAACTCCTATTTATGACTTCCTACCAAAGAATGATGATGGAAGAAGTTTGATTTATTTATTACGCATTAGTTTTATGGGTCTGTTCCACTTAAGGTCAGATTGGCGTCTATGAACCAAAATGAGTTTCACACCAAGACTAAACTCGTGTCATGGTTTGCATTATGCAGTGGTTACAGTGGTGACACTTATTAGACTCTGAAGTCTGTGCACCAGTTTTTCAGGGTCCTATAGGTGCAAATGTTGCGACCACTGTAAATGTGACACCATCACAGAAAAATTGTATAAAATCAGAAGAAGAAAGAGAACTCTAATATGATGGCTGCACACCAGCTGGATCATTATAACAACATCACATCACATGAGTAACTTCAACATGACGAGACTTCAAGGACTCCAACAATGTTCATACAGTGAGGATAAATAATGTTTTTTATTATTTATTATAAAAAGGACACAATATAGATATATAAAATGCAGCCAGAAATCCAATAACTAACATGTCCATTAATTTGACACGTTGGTTTATATATAATTTCTTTTTCTCTCTTAGCTTTTCAGCGCCACATTTTTGCCATTTCTTCCACACTCAACTCTTTTCTACAAGCTGAGCACACAGTGAAGGTAGGGGAGGGCTGGTGGCATTAAGAGATTTGATTGGGCAATCTAGGGGCCAGTTAGTTCTTTCCTTTGGTGAAAGTTGGGCTCTTCAATTCAGCATGGTACAACTCCATAGATTCTGCAACATCAAACCCTCTGTCTGCTAATATTACATCCAGTTACAAGATGAGCTTCCCGACCCCCTGAACTACGGATGCCCTACATGACTGTTAGGACAACTTATGTATTGCAAGTATGCAGTACTAAGAATAACTTGATGTTTCTGAC